CATGCTTCGAGCTCTTCGCGCAATATTTAGAGATCTTTTCTAGCTTGATAATGAACCTGATCTTAGCGCGAAGGAGTCGATGATCAGAACTTTTGCAGAAAGACGGTAGCACACCAACATTTACTGACACCAACTACGCCAACCAAGATGTCTATTGCTTCGGGCAGGCCGTGAGGAGTGTGTACTGCTGACGTCGACCCATTGTACATGTCTCTCGCCATAAAAATCGGATGTTCTGGAACGTTTCGCTCTCGGAGCAGTTTCCAAAGAACCTGTCGCGAGAGATGATCAAAAGCCCTATCTAGATCGAGGAAGGCCAGGTAGCGCGGTCTAAGCTTTTCTCGATACTTCTCCATTACTTCTGTGGCTGAAGATAGCATCCGTTGCAGACCGTTCTGACATGAAGCCGAGTGGCTCTCGTGATATCTGGGCGGCTCTCCTCAATCTCGAATCGACTAGCCGCTCGTGCAGATTGAAACACTCCATTACGTCCCCCTTTTGCTTGAATATGGGGACGATGGTGCTGCTTCTCCAGGCATCTGGGATCTTCCTTCAGCGGTCACATTGTTCAGGAATCGGGTCAGACACCGTGTTCCCCAAGCGCCTTTCATGCATCGAGTTTATTTTCTCTTCCAGCCTTCATTCTCTTGTTAGCATTACGCACCCCATCTTCTGTCGAGAGTTTTATGGGGTCAGCTGTTGCTTCTAACGGGAGCTGTTCTCACGGGCAAATTCTTCGTTTAGGAGCCTGTCGAAGTACTCCTTCCATCTATGACTGACCTCTCCAGGCTTCCTCAGCATTGCGCCCTCCGTGTTCTCAACGGACTTCACGAACTCGATGTTTTGAGCAGCCCGGTGTCGCGCTTTTGCCAGTCGGAATACAAACTTCTCTCCTCCGCGGCCATCGAAATCTCGTACAATGCATCCTTTTCCGTATTCTTTGCCTCGCTACGACAGCCTTGGCGACCCTCTTGAAAGTTCTGAAGGCAACTGGGTATTCTGAAGCTCGCGCCCTCTGCTACCGCTTTCATACCGGAACAAACGAACGTGGCGACTTTATTGACCTCCTTCGTAATTACGTCCGATCACATGAAACTGAAGATGATCACCAAAAAAAATTGAGGAGCTTGGAAGCCATACCGCGCCTTCCAGATTCTCCTGATACAGCCCCCTCTGATTATCACCTCTTTCACTCCTCAAAGGCGCCATGGTTAGAAAAACTTTAACAAAGTTTGTTAACATTAGTCGGACGGTCACTTACTTTGACTCGCTGTTTCTCCATCTCTGGTGAAATGGGATCGCTGAGTTCCCAGTACGTGGATCATTGTGTTGACTAACAGTATGATTATTCTATTCACTGATTCTCATTGTATGTTGGATAGAAAACTGAAAATTAGAGTAGTGAAACACCTACTGAGGCTTCTCGATCAACGTAATACGAGGGTTGCCTTTTATATTTCTGGATTGAGCAACAACAGTGTTGCAATCTGGCAACTGTCAGCTCTATCGTAAAGTTTGACATTTTTGAGGTTATACGTACTCAGAACGTTTTGACATACAATATGAGCGCTCTTTGTGTTGTATACACTAACTTAAAAAATTTACCCAGGCCCTTGGCGCCCCCAGACTCCACTTAGGCCGGACCTCCTTCCCCCTTAACATCCCCCTCCCCTTTCGACGATGAAGCTCCATCAAGGATCAGTGCTTATCGATGGTATGGTGAATTTACCCGAGCTCGTAGTTCACCCAAAACGAATTTCGTGGAGGCCTCCAAACTCAGTTGTTGTAGCGATGCCGTGCGTAAACTAACATTGCAAGATCGTCATGTGACCTATCGTGAGATTGAGACAACCTCAGGCATTGAAGGGACTAACATACATTCAATATTGCATGAACATTTAACTGTAAAAAATTTGTTTTTGAAAAATTTGTCAATCCACCCAAAAAAGGCTTTCCGGAACACGAAGTTCGATAGAGGAACAATACTGCATGCAAAGGACATTCAAAATGTGCCTATGCCTATGCCTTTGAATAGAATCTGTCTGTCTCGATCTGTAGTTGTTGCTGTTAAAAATAATGAACCATTGATGACTTAAGTGGTAAGGATCCAGGCCTTTGAATGGGACTCGCAAATGTTGTCGAGTCATAATAATACCATTATCAAATATCCTTATGAATGTAATTTCTTTTATTACTGATACATCATTAAGTAAGAATCCAATATTGTTAGCGGCCGGATAAGTTTTGCCATGAATGGTATCGAAGCAGAAAGAAATCGGGATCCGTCAATGAATCGCATGCTTCGTAGGGTATCGGTCGTAAGCATGAGGTGAACCAAATTTCATAATCTGTCCCCGTCAATTTACTCACCCTTCTTGAAAAATTCAAATCACCAAAATGACTATTTCGGAGGAAGCCCTGCCTCCGGGCCTCCAGTGGGCGGAATCTACACCTGTCACCCACCATAAGTTTTCCTATATTGCCACCTACATCTCTGCAAATTTGAACGACCCAGGTCCGATTTGACTGTTTTGAGGAAGCCCCGCCCCCAGTGGGCGTAGTCTACGCCTGTCACCCACTATTAGTGGTCCCATCTTGCCACCTACATCTCTGCCAAATCTGATTACTCTAGGCTCAGGAGCAAAGGAGTTGCAGGTTTCCGGTGAACTACACTATTCGCGCAAGCCCCGCCCTTAGTGGGCGGAGCCTAGCTTAGATCACATGTACCCAAGGAGTTCGGCACATTCCCCACTTGTTCATCCTGAACCCCCACTTGTTACAACCTGTCTGAGCTGTTCCATTTGCTTTCCAAACGACGCCGTATAAGATAGTGAAACAAACATACAAACTTACAGACATACAGACAAACAGAAAAACGGGCATTTGTGGTTTATATATAGTAAAGAAAGGATAAGGATAGTTGAACTGGGCAGGAACGTTGAAATACTACCGGGATGAACCTGCCTTCATATTACCGTCCCAAGGTTGTTTCTCTGAGCTCTCCGTAGATCTCAGGGCGGTGCGGTGAGCATCAGTCAGTGACAGTTTGCAACACCTGCTGCCTTGTCTTCTCAGGAGCTCATTTTTTCTATTCTTTCTTAATCTTTTATGCTCTAGAAGCATAAAAAATTAAGGAAGAACCGACACACTGAACTTCACAAATTCCATCAGTACGTTTTTTTCTTGATGGTTAGTCCCACTTCATCAAGTGAAAGAGTGCCACAAAAAGTGTCACTCGTCGTACATGTATTTTTGTCTGACAAATTTTCGGCATGGCAAACATATCGTGAAAGACGTTAACCAGAACCGATCCACTGTTTTGGCGGTTTTTTGTGGTTTTCGTCTCTCTCGTAATGACCCGAATGTTCACAGTAGGAAGAATGTCTTGCACTCCCTTATATACGAAGATAAGCCAATTTCAGAAGGATATTGGAAGCTTCAACATTACCAAATGGGTGCACGAGGACGGACATATACGAACGTTTAAACTTGCCGCTGGCGAAAGACCACCCTTCAGTGCAGAGAATTTTACGCTTAAGTGTTTCGAAACGACGGCTCATGGTGCGACTCAAGCAGTGCTAGCGATATATCTATTACATGGTAAGTTCCATGGAAAGGAAGTGGCTTCTTTTTATAAATTTAAAATTAGAGGCACTGTTCACATCAAAAGTGGTTTCTGATATTCTACCATGGATGGACCTGTGACACCTAAGGAGCTCAAAGGACGCTGTAGATTCGTAAAACGGACAACATGAGGCGTAATAAAGGCTCTAAACCCGTTTAAGCCGATGTACACACTCGAGGCGCAAAAATTCTCGTACCATTTAAAAACAGTAGAAAGTGCACCATTCGCATTGGGACTCACAGCCAGCTGTATCCCATGAAGCAAACATGAACAGCTCATCCGGGAACGCCTTTTATGCAACATCGTCGTCACATGCTTGTCCAACCCCTTGATTTCCCCTGTTTTTTGAAGCCTAATATTTTCCTGGTTGCGCCGATTCCGCGTTTTCGTCTTTCCTTCTGCACTATTGTGGGATGTTCTTTCCATTATTCGTCTAAAACTAGATTCCCCAAAAGAACTGTGCTTTATGGTCTTCTAGTACATAGAATATTGGCGCGTTTGTTACAGAATACGACTTGTTACCTAGCTGGAAAGTGAAGCCTTTAACAGAACCTCGACGCATTTCTGTGGATCTTGAATCGAAACCTTCGATCATTCTAGGGAGAAGGTAGTTATGTTTATTGATCAAATAAATAAATGCTCAAGGCCTAAATCTTCGAATGTGTTCATAATAAGCTTCTAATAAACAAACAAACGTGTTATGCTATAATCCTTTGCTACATATATGGACTTTGTTAGAACTGGTTTTACTTTCAGAACAACTGTGGATATACTCGATTCTAAAAACAAGACCCTCAAATCGTACACGCTTGAAGATCACACGGTAAGAACATTTCTCGTGATATAATAATTTCATACCTGGGGTGAGCTGGTAAAGGGGAAATGTCATCCTATATAGCTTTAGACCAGCGATGAGTATATTACAACTATTATTTATATCAAAAGAACGATCAAATAGAAACGTCGGTGTTAGTACTTGGATAGAAATGGGTCGCTTAGTTGTAGCTTGCTGCTTGGTCCGGTTTTGGGATTGAAAAGTGAATGTATTGGGGTCAGTCGTAGCCGTTGTGGTTACAAGGTAGAGTCTTGGTGTAACTTACAACACGATATCCTTCTTTTGTGCATCCCTCTATCTGCGAACTACACAAGAGCCAATCGATTTGTATCACTGTGATATCATCTTAGGAATTATTTGTTTCAGAATCAACCACTAATACATTATGTTGACATAATCGCTGCGGAGAAGTACTTTGTCAAAGTTTCTGTGAATTATACGGAAGACGTCAGAGCTACCAAACTCCTACGAGATGAAACGCTGGAAAGGTCGAGAAGCGACGAGATGAAGAGTAAGACCCAATTGAATCCATCTTTCTCCTACTATATAGTGTACGTATGTGTGTACTTGTATGTCTATATGTGTGATGTATATACGTGCGTATGTATGTACCTGTCGGTTCGCCCAACTAATGCCCTGCTTCCCTCCTTCTTCGGCAAAGTTGCAGTAATCGGTCAACTCCCTGCTCCCTCTTTGGAGCAAATAATAGTTCCCTGTGCAGGAACTCTGACACAGGACTAACAGGGCAGTGCAGGTGGTATTACTCAATGAAAGTCGGTGCTTACACCTTTAATTGGAAGTGTCAGTTTCTGTTCCTTTTTTTAAGTAAATACCCGCCAGAGATTCAATTGTTTGACGATCGAAGTCTTGGATGCTATTTACAAGTGTTTCGAGCAACTCTTTACTGAGATATCATTAGTTAAGAATTCGAAATTACTGGCGGTCGGATACGTTTTGTTGCAAATGGTATCGAGCAAAGAGGATCCTTCATTAAGTCATAAACCTTGCTGGGCAGCGGTCGTAATCTAAAAGCAAGAATTAAACTAAATTCTCATCTGCTTATCCTATTGCCGCTTTCACTGCATTTACCACTCACTTTTGTCATCCTACTCTAACATCCCGTCTTATCGAATGAAACATACTAAACGATCAAAGCTACATCGTGACTACCGAGGACGTTAGGATTTCGATAGGTAGGTGGCCTCTCTTAGGTCCCTTATCTTCTATTATCAGTTATTATCAGTCTCTGCCGCAGAATACCTACGATATCGTCATATCCTACATCCTTTATTGAAATGCCGGGGTTCCACTGTTGATATGAAAAATGTAGTCCGACCAAATCTAAACGCCCTAGGTCCATGGGGACAGGAGTTATGAACTTTCGGTCGAACACACGCACCGACACACACAACAACAATCAAACAGACGCACCAGCGAATTTTAAATAGTAGGATGTGTGTATAAGCGGAAATTCTAAATTTAGAAGCTCGGAACTGGGATTAGAAGCTTGTCAACATCGTTGTCCCACTAAAAATTAGTCGCTGCGCGTCGCCTGTTTGCTTATAATGTTGCCTCTGTCTGTACCTTTTATCCCTTGCAAACTCAATTGTAAACGATGATTATATAACTAAGCGAATTTAATTTTCATGGCTGATAGATCTGCATTGTGTGAGTACTTTTTGAGGCGTCGAATTTCCCGCTATGGGAGTCGCTGCAAACAAAACGGATATAACTAAGGATGCTCTCAATTTTTCATACGAATCCATTGATTTTGTGGAGGGTGATAATTTAATCACCTATTTTGTAATGCGGTAAATTAAGTTTTGATTTTTCCTGTTTATATTATACTTTCTCATATTCTCCCATAGGCAATCTTGCTATGTTTGACACTAATGTATAGCATCTATCGTTTTAGTATGGAGTTGTTGAGACCGCTGCGAACAGAAGTATATCCGTATGTAGTTGAAAAGGTTGAAGAACTCAATTATGATGGCACAAGTAGAGAGTAAGTCGGAAACTCTCGCATTCAATGTTAACCAGTTCTTTACAAATCTTTCACAGCTGTTCCAAAGCTTGAAAACGAAGGTCGTGAAAGCAATTACCAGTAAATTACTCTTAAATGCAGCTTCAACCAGAGAATTCTTCCAATTTCGTTCAGCTATTCAATAAACGCTTCGTATTTTGCCGGTTCTATATATGATAGATTGAACGTAACTATTACTCCAGAAGTTGGAGATTACAAAGGATCTAGCAAAGATCTGCTCTTCCCCCTTGATCAACCGCCTGGTTAGTTTTCAATAGGGTTTTTGTTGGCAGAACGTTTTTAACAAGATTTTTTTTTCTTTGATAAGAATTTTTTTTTCTTTCCTTCATAGAAGATACTCATAAACAGAGCATAGCTTGTGTGTACATACTGTTAGGTAACGCTTGATACTAGTTCCTGAAGACGTGGAACGTACGAATTCAGAGGCTGAAATCTTATCTAAATAACCCTTTTGTCAAACCCTCTTCTGATATTAGAAATGCACCAGTTCGAAGAATCCACCTATTTAAAGGCACTGTTAACAAAAACATTGTTTCGGACATTTGCACATAGTTTGAATTC